ATGCTGTTTCCATAGTGCACCCACAACTCCCCGGGCTGCCAGCGTGATCACATCACTTTTGATGTGTAGGAAAGCAAACAGCTTATTTTCTTGCAATCCCCTCCTCTCCAATCAATCTGCTCTGCAAGGGGGGGGGGAAAGAAAAAACACAGGTCAGGCACAAAACAATGCATACTGATTGTAATGGTGATCACATGACTGAGGGACACTGTGAAAGTCATAAATAGTCCTTAAAATTATTTTTCCATCACCGTTGGTACTTTGAATGGTCGCTGAATGAACGGTCAGTGAGTGAGGACTACCTGTATAAGTAAATGAACACTGCTATGCATAAGCAATTTTGTATTAATGTGATAGAATTACTGAAAGGAAGACAGAAAGATACATGTCCTCCAATTATTTATATTTGATTAATAGGAATATAGCACTCAACAACAGCCTGTATAATTGAATGTACTCTGAATAACCAGATACTATATTGTACTTTTCTTATCTTAGAAAATATTACACATCTTAGTATTGGCTCTTAGGAGATTTTTGATTCTGCAAAACAAATCTCCTTAATCTATCTGTTCTACCCTAAATATCCTCTTTACCCAGGCTGAGTTTGTGGTTAACATACATTCCCACCCCTTCATCTGTATTGCCGACAAATCTCATTTTTTAAACTGATCTTCAGGTCACAGATTTTGGCTTTGCCAAACGAGTGAAAGGCCGAACATGGACCCTTTGTGGGACTCCAGAATATTTGGCTCCTGAAATCATTTTGAGTAAGGTGAGTGATCCATATTCTTCATGGACATTATGATGTACTTCTGTGCCTAGTCAGCATGGGGGAGGGCTGGGAGAGCCCCCCAGCTCTTTGGACATTCTAAGTTCCCCTTGTTCTGATTGTGATCTGAGTTTTCATTCCTCTTGCAGGGTTATAACAAAGCAGTGGACTGGTGGGCCCTAGGTGTCCTCATCTATGAGATGGCAGCTGGCTATCCTCCATTCTTTGCAGACCAGCCCATTCAGATTTATGAGAAAATTGTCTCTGGGAAGGTAATGTTTCAGCAGAGTGACTTATTTGCTGGATGCAAGGTATTACACCTGCCTGTTGTACATTATTGGCCACTTTTTACATGGAATAGAATCTAGACCTTACCTTGATAGCACATTAAAGTGGGGTGTTTTTTTTTAACATACATTTCTAATGCTCACTAAAGCATGGATATAACTTTTCCCTCCCAGATGAATGCTAGAGTAACTGTAGTTCTGTAGCCTGTGAGTGGACACATTTAAACTATTCCCTTGACAACATTTTGAATTTAACTTTTTGGCATTACTAACAGCTTTCATCGTGTATGTATGGAATGTATGGAAATATGCATGGCTACTCTTTTTCTGTGTAATGGTTGAAGAGCGTAAAACCAGGCAAAGGGGTACACTTATTGTAACCATGAAGTTGTGAGTTTCCAGGATTTCATTTGGGAAGGACTAAATAGAAAAAGAACTCGTATCCTAGGAGAAAGTCTCCACTCCCAACTCTTAGTAGAACCAAGTTCATATGCTACCTTTTTGATCATCTGTATCTAACCTTTTTCTCCTTCTTCTTCCTTTACCACTCTCCTGAAAAAGTTTCAAAGAGCCCTGCTAACACACATTGTTCTAAAAATTACCTCTGAAACAGTTGATACCAGCTACTGTTTGAGGCAGAATATTGAACCAAAAACTGCACTGATTCAGCCTTTCTCCACAGCTCTTACTGTAAGAAAACTTATCCTTACTGAAAAACAGGCAAGGATAATGTTTTGTTAGGTCTACTGCTTCATTTACTGTGGATCGCTGCCTTGATTTACTTTTGATTTGAAATTCATGCAGGTATTACAGGTTCCTACAGTCATTCAGCAAAGCAATTGTCCTAAATTTTTAAAAATAACTTAATTCTTTTTCCCACTAACAACATTAGCATTGTGGCTGGACACATATTATTTTTAACTTGTTGGGTTAATATACAATATATCAGAACCTTGTTTGTGCTGCACTTTTGAACTGTAACAGTTCAACTTAATCAGTGAAAGGTTTCTTTTTTATGTTAGAGCCTCCTATCTCTCAACTTCCCTTGGGTAACTGCTTTATATTCTCAGTTTTAAAAAAGTATTTTTGGAGAAAGTGCAGATGTGCTATGGGTGCATTTGAGAGTAAAAAATTCTTCTCTTTCAACAGCTTGTTTGCCAACATTTCTCTTCTCAATCCCCCCCCCCCCCC